TGCTTTCCTTGGCTCGTGGCCCCTTCCATCTTCACAGTGGCCGTCAGCATTGGCCAGTCGGGTCTTTGTCACAGCGTCGCATCACTCTGACACCCTCTCCTGCCTCTCTCTTCCGTCCTTTAAGGACCTTGTGATTGCATGGGGCCCCCAGAGAGTCCAGGATCATCTTCCCACCTCAAAGGCAGCTGATTAGCATCCCTAATTCCTCCTTGCCATATAATCTAACATATTCACAGGTTCCAGGGATTAGGATTAGGACGTGGACATCTTTAGGGGGGGTGGAGGGGGCATTAATCTGCCTACCACATCCCCCCTAGTGGTGTCTACGTGCACTAACCACTCGGGCCTGGTGTGGAATGCAGCTTCAGCAGGGAAGTGGGTGCTGGGCGCTGGGCACAGGGACCACTGGCCTCTGGGCTTTGCCCTATCTCTGCTAGCCTGGCCCTCCTACCCTCTCCAGCCCAGCCAGGTCAAAGCTACCAGCTAATACCACCCTCCCCAAACACACACACACACATGATCATCAGGTCAGCTTTGGTGGTCCGACACCGTCCATCCATGTGAGACACCCCATCCCTGCGCTCTCTGCAATTTGCCCACACCCTCTCCTGTCCATCATCCCCCAGCCAGGAAAGGCTGCCTCTAACTCAGGTCTCATCATAGCGCCACCTATCCATCACCTCAGTGAATGGCACCACTGGAATCATCCTAATTCATCTCTTTTCCTCTCACTACACTCCCGTCCCTCAGCAAGTCCTGTCAACTCGTCCTCCCAAGTCCATCCCAAATCCATCCAATTCTCCAGGCCCCTCCACTGGTCCAAACCTTGGTTGCCTCTTTCCAGAATGACTACAGGGGCTTCTAGCCTGGTCTCCCCAGCCCACCCACAGCCTTCTCCTGAGGACTCCCTGTCCCATGTAGAATAAACCCCAGCTCCTTGTCATGGCCCACTAGGCACTGCTCCGTCTGGCACCTGCCAACCTTCCCACGCTCATCTTCGCCCACCTTCCCCTCACCCACTCTGCCAGGTCACTCAGCCTTCTGTTTGGTCTTTGACCATCCACGCCCATCCCCAGGTCGGGGAGCAAGCTCTTCCAATTCCCTCTACCTGAGACACCCTCCCCCAGGTCCTCACAGGGGTGGCTCCTTCCCATCCATGAGGCTCAGCCCCAAGGACCCCTCCTCCGAGAAGCCCTCCCAGACCCCTCCGGCTAATGATGCCCGCAGTCATTTTCCATCTGTCACCTTGTTCCGTTCCCATCACAGCACTCACGACAGCCTGAAATGATCTGTGTACTTATTTAGAGACTGTCCCCCACTAGAATATCAGCTCCATAAGGACAGGGGCTGGGTCTGTCTTGTTCTCTGCTGTGCCTCTAGACCTAGCACAGGTCTGACGCGTGGTAAGTGTTGACTGAAGGAGTAACGGCTTCCTCAGGACTCCTCCTCCTCATCCCCACCATTGCAGCTCCTTTCTCAAACGGCTTCCTCTTTTCGGGCATCCATATAGAGCCTCAGAAGCAAACTCACTAATACCCATCATGCTCTAGAACTGACAGAGCTAACACTGCAGAGAAATTTTAAAAGACCAGACTTTCTGTGAGGGTATCAGGTGGGGTGAAGAGGAGCATCATTTTCCAGAAGCAGGACTGTGGGGCCTGTTTGATCTATGAACTTCACTCGCGACTCTGGAGTCCAGCATTCAGAGCCATGCTCCCCAAACCCATCACACTGGGCTTCCCCAAGACCCAAGGCCAAGGAGAAGTGTACCCACCCTCATTTAGCAAATTCCAGCGTCTGGCCCTCCCCAGGGAACTCGGGCCCTCTCTGGACAAGCAGCCTGACCGAAGCGTGCTTTTTCCTTTTCTCCGTACTGCACAGTCTGTTGGGACAGGCTAGCTTTCCACGCAGGATGCTGAGGCTTTAACCCACAGCTGACACAGTCCTGAGAGAAAGAAATGAAGAATTGCTGATTGAGGGAGCTTTCTGCTGGAGGGCGCGCGGGGAGGGCTGAAAGAAGCGATTCCCGGGGAGAAGAGGTGATTACAGCCCTGGGGGTTTCACAGGAGCCCCCAGGGCTTGCAGGATGAGACGAACGTTCCTTTGCCTTCATCACCATTCTCACTAAACAGAACATCATTTTTCCTCTCGTCTTTGGTGGCAAAGATAAAGCAGCAGAGCTGAACCGCGGCATCGCTGATGTGAAGAGCCTAAGAGGGATTCTTCCCACTCGTCCAAGGGATTCTGGCAGGCTCTGCCGGAGGAGACGGGTTCCAATTTTAGGAGAAGTTAAAAACATTCTCAACATTCTAAAATCAAATCATTTTAATTTCAAACACAGGTGTAGCCTAGCTTTCCAAAACCCAATCTGTGAAACTAGCTTTTCCCAAAGATAAATGAGTGGGGTGATGATTGGCTTTTGTAAAAGAATTCCTGTTAGGAAGGATCCCCTTTCAAATGTGGAACCCTGCCCACCACTCCCCCCCGCCCCGCTCCTATAAAACTTTACTGTTTCTCATCCGTACAGGAGTGTGTGTATGTGTGTGTGTGTGTGCGTGTTTTCCCTGAACATGTCCATAGCACAGATTGACACTCAGATGTTGGAAATGGGTTTCCATTTCCAGTAGATTTTGCTGGTACCATTTGCTTCCATGAGGAATTGGGCTGGGGGAAGGATGGTGATATTAAAAAGCAAAGTATTAGAATCTTACTACTTTTCTATGCATTGGCTTAATTCTGGAGAGCTCTGTTGCTATAATCCAGGGGTCTCAAACTCAAATGCCTACAGGGGCCAGGAAGGAAACATACGTGAGAGAAGGGGAGTGGGTGTTAGGAAGACAATGTGGAGGAGTGGGGACTGTGGTAGATTGCTGCATACATGCCCTGCCTAAAGGGGACAGCCATTTCTCAGCTGGAATTTGGGCCAAATGTTGCTGGGTAGTCTGATTTTTCAAGAGAAACCAAAAACATGAATTTTTACATGAAATTTCTCAATTTTCAAAATCTTCTCCAAGCCAGGCAAAATATCTGTTAACCAAATTCAGCCCATGAGCTATGACTGAATAAGCAACCTTATTCTAGTAGTGCAAACTCTTAGCTTTGAGGATTGGGAAGGAAAGAGAAACTGAGAGTTTGACCTCAGTTTCTCAGAAGTGCCCTCATCATGTTGGCCTCCCCGACAGGAAATGTACTCATTCGGTGAGCACTTCTTTGAGCTCTTACGCTGCTGGGTACGGGGATTCAGAGATGAGTAAAGCACAGTTCTTCCTCCACAGAGCAGGCAGTCTAATAAAGGAGCCAGGCTTGCACACAGATAATTCTAAAACAGAGTGGGAACTGCGGTGAAGATAAATGCACCAGGTATGGAGGAGGGGGACTCACTTTAGCTGGAAGAGCCGAGGAAGGCTTCCTGGAGGAGTGAGCATGCCTGTCCAGTGCACCCCTGTATCTTCAAGATGATGTGTGCCGATACCTGAGCAAACATGGCACCGTTGTGATAACTGTGCATGTCTTTGGACATTGCCTCTTATTTATGGCAAACGATATAGGTTTTCCATTTATGGAAGTAATACAAGGTGTCGCTTTAAGATAAATGCGAATAGTAATAATAGACAACAATTATTGAGTACCAACTATATGCCAGGCATGGCATTAAGTGCTCTTATGTACATAATTCATTGAATCCTCTCAGTAATCCCATGAAGCAGGTCATATGGTTACACCCATTTTACAGATGAGGAAATTGAAACACATCAAGATTGAGTAACTTGCCTGGGCCGTGAGACTCCCAAGTCTGCCTGTAACCACAACATCAGAGCCTCTGGCCTCAGCACTGTGGATATTGGGGGCCGGATAGTTCTCTGTTGTGGGGTCTGGCCTGTGCATCACAGGACATGTAGCAGCATCCTTGGCCCCTATCCGCTAGATGCTGGTAGCGTCCCCCATCATGACAATCTAAAATCCCTCCAGACATTGCCACACGTCCACGGGGGGACAAAATCGGCCCCGGTTGAGAACCACTGGTCTCCACTAAACTACTTTTCCAAGCTAAATAAATACAAAAAATTGGGGCGAATTTAAAATCAAGTGTTACGTAAGTAATAGTACAGATGTTGCATGCCAGTCCACTGGGATGCAGCTCTGGGGGCCTGGGGACCATGTCTGATTCTGTGCTTGACCGCCAGCCCCCAGTGCTTAAAGCAGTGCCTTTTATAGCATCAATGAGGTGGATATGGAAGAATTAGGAAATGCTGAACCATGGTGTTGCTAGTTTCACTTTTTTTTTTTTTTTTTTTTGGTGAGGAAGACCAGCCCTGAGCTAACATCCGATGCCAATCCTCCTCTTTTTGCTGAGGAAGACTGGCCCTGGGCTAACATCCATGCCCATCTTCCTCTACTTTATATGGGACACCGCCACAGCATGGCTTGACAAGCGGTGCGTCCGGTCTGCGCCCGGGATCCGAACTGGCGAACCCCAGGCCACCGCAGCTGAGCGCACAAACTTTGCTGCACCACCCGAGGGCCCGCTATTTTCACTCTTAAGTGAATTTCTTAGTCAGCTTGGGCTGCTGTAACGAAGTACCCAGACTGGGCGGCTTAAACCACACACATTTATTGCTCACAGTTCTGGAGGTTGGAAGTCGGGGTCAGGGTGCCAGCATGGCCGGGTTCTAGAGAGGACACTCTTCCTGGCTTGTAGATGGCTGCCTTCTCGCTGTGCCCTCCTGGTGGAAGGAGCCAGCGAGCTCCAGTGTCTCTTCCTCTTCTTATAAGGGCACCCATCCCATCATGGGGGCTCCACCCTCATGACCTTATCTAAACCTAATTTCCCCCCAAAGTCCCGCCTCCTAATACCCTCCCATTGGGGGTTAGGGCTTCCCCTATGAATTTGGGGCGGGGGGCGGGGCACAATTCAGTCCGCAACAGCAAATATCTGCAGAACCGGCGTTGTCCGCCAAGACTGAGGAGTCACTGCAGTCTTTCCTTGCTTCTCCCCCCAGGCCCCAGAGGGATGTGAAGGCCCAAAATGACCCTCCTGCCGGGAGACAATTCTGATTACGACTACAGCGCCCTGAGCTGCGCCTCGGACGCCTCCATCCACCCGGCCTTCCTCCCGCAGAGACAGTCGCTCAAGGGCGTCTTCTACCGCCGCGCCCAGCGGCTGCGGCCGCAGGACGAGCCCCGCCAGGGCGGCCAGCCCGAGGACCGCAGGCGGCAGATCATCATCAACGTGGGCGGCATCAAGTACTCGCTGCCCTGGACCACGCTGGAGGAGTTCCCGCTGACGCGGCTGGGCCAGCTCAAGGCCTGCACCAACTTCGACGACATCCTCAACGTGTGCGATGACTACGACGTCACCTGCAACGAATTCTTCTTCGACCGCCACCCGGGGGCCTTCGGCACCATCCTGACCTTCCTGCGCGCGGGCAAGCTGCGCCTGCTGCGGGAGATGTGCGCGCTCTCCTTCCAGGAGGAGCTGCTCTACTGGGGCATCGCCGAGGACCACCTGGACGGCTGCTGCAAGCGCCGCTACCTGCAGAAGGTCGAGGAGTTCGCCGAGTCGGTGGAGCAGGAGGACGACGACGACCCGCTGGCCAGCGAGGACCGCGACAGCGAGGGCCCGGCCGGGGGCGAGGGCCGCCTGGGCCGCTGCATGCGGAGACTGCGCGACATGGTGGAGAGGCCGCACTCGGGGCTGCCGGGCAAGGTGTTCGCCTGCCTCTCGGTGCTCTTTGTCACGGTCACCGCTGTCAACCTCTCGGTCAGCACCTTGCCCAGCCTGAGAGAGGAGGAGGAGCAGGTAAGAAAGAGCCCAGAGCTGTGTGCGGGAGGCTCGCTGCAGTGAGGGAAGGCCTCTGAGGACAGGAGATAAAATGGTCTGCTGGACCACTGTCCTCCCAGAAGTCTACATCCTTCACGCCCGCAGTCACCTCCTCCAGGAGGCCTTCCCTGACTGCGCTGTCTGAGTAGCATCCCCATTCCCTCCTGACATCGTGTGTACATGTGTCCTGTCCACCTCCATGTTCAAAAATGAGCTCTCTGCCTGGTGTGGTCTCCCCTGTGCCCTCAGTGTCAAGAATGATGTCCAGCATGGATGAGGCACTCAGCCACTCTCTGTTGAGTGGACGACTGAGTGAATAAATGGATGATGTGATTTGTGATGTGTCTGGCCCTAAGCTAAGCACATGACATATATCATCAAAATTTATTGGAGTCCTTTCTCAGTCTTCCTAGTTCTCTTGTGTAAAAATATCCTGGAAACATTTTATGGGTCTTGAACATCATTTTTATTGATAGGTGTGTGTGTGTGCTCGTGTCTTCAAATAGTGAGCATTTCTTTGTGTTAAATGAGAGAATGCGGGCAAAGTGTTTATCCAGGGCCTCACACGGGTGTGTGCTCACTTCTCAGGGCTGCCCCTTAGCAGGCAGTTAATAGGAACAGGGGCTGGGCTGCAGCTCTGCCTGCGTCTTGTTCTCTGGGGGAACCTTCCAGCAGCCCCGTACAGGAGGTGTCCTCACACTCACCTAACTGATGAGGACACTGAGGCAGAGCAGCTCGCCCAGACCCCGATCTGACCGAGTCCAAATTCTGTGTTCTTAAACACAGAAGTATGCGTCCCACATGGCAGGACCTCATTAGCCACGGAAGTGTGATGGTCCACACTGTGCTTTCCAAAACTTTGACTTGGTTGCCAACATTTAAAAGTAAGGTGTTTTTCATTTAAAAATTCAAACTCCCAGCTTCTCTTAAAATTTGTATGGTCGGGCCCCCTGGCCTGCGGTCCCTCATGGCAGCTCTTGGTGGGAGCTGGCTCCACGGGACTTGCGTTCCCCAGGTCAGCCTCCTGATGTCTGAGACCCTCAGGCCTTTGAGTGGGAGCCCTGCCCACACATAAGGGTTCTGGAAGCGAGTTTCAAGACAGCCCGGAGTTTCACACAGGTACAAATTACATGAGTATTGGAGAAATAGATATGGCAGTGTGAAATGAACATAAACGTCATGGCAGCCAGCATCTATTGAGCACTGGCTGTGTACCCTGCATGCGCTAAGTGCTTTATATGCTCTCTGATTGCACATTACAACTCCTCACCACGTGCGGGTTTTTCCACGTACAGATATGATGGAGGAAGTAGCAATGGCTGTTGCATTTGTAACTCACAGGGGGTTTCTGGGCCTTTTTATCTACATTGAATTTTAAAAATGAGTATTCAGAAAACAGCCCTCAACTAGTAAAATTAACTTCTGATAAGCATAAAGGGCAGTGAGGAAGAGGGCAGGGCCAGAGCCACATGGCCTGAATTTGAATCCTATTCCGTCCACGCTGGCTGTGTATCTGTAGGCAACTTACTTACCCTCCCTGTGCCTCAGTTTCCTCACCCGTCCACGGGGCCGTGAACAGGCCCGCCTCACAGCATTGTGAGGATTCAGTGAGTGAGTCCACGTGAAGCGATTGGAACAAGGCCTGCGCACGAGCGTGCGGGAAGTGCAAACTGTACGGATTATACGCGCCTGCCAAGAAAAGAGAGAAAACGCTCGTCGTTTGAGACCTGTTGGAAGTGCCTGTACTTCGTCTAGATTTCTTCTTAGCTCCAACATATGCAGTCCTGATTTTATCAGGAAAATACTAATAACACCACTGTTTTCTTCAACTTCTGATACTTGCTTTTTTTTTAATACAGCCATGTGTCGCTTAACGACGGGATATGTTCTGAGAAATGCATCGTTAAGCAATTTCATCGTTGTGCAAACATCATAGAGTGGACTTACACAAACCTAGACGGTGTAGCCCACTACACACCCGGGCTGTATGGTGCTCATCTGTGGGACCCCCGTCCTACGTGCGATCCACCATTGACCGAAACGTCATTATGTGGCGCATGACTGTAATACCTGGTCTGTTTCGTGATTCAGTGAAAATGCTGTTCTCTCCCTTCATTTTGGGGACCAGTAGGTTCACTGTTTCACTTGCTCCTTAGCACACATTTGAGTGCCTACTGTCTTCAGGCACGGTGGGGCAGGCAGAGTGACCAGAATGAGCCTTCCAGCTTCAAGGAGCTTCACGTCTAGTGGAGGGGGGACAGTGACACCCCCATATGTGTGAGACAAGCTGAGGGGGCTCTTGTGAGAGGCCCCCCAACTGTGCTGGGGATACTTGGAGGGGGCGCACTCCAGGAAGGCTTCCCAGAGGAGAGGGCTTCCTGTCCCAGAGGTCTGAGACCTCTAAGCCCCACCCAGTACTAGTGCATCTCTCCGGTCTAACGGATTCCTGGAGAGCGTGCCATTAGAGCAGGACTCGAGAACCCGCTGTGCCCAGGACCCAACAAGATGCCCCAGGCTAGAACCGTTAGCGCCTTCCCTCTGCCAAAGGCCGCTTTGAGCTTGAAGGTCAAAGCCTCTAGGGACCGTCTGCCGTCCAGTTATATTCCAGAGAGACGAGCTGGCAGCCAGCATGCCAAATACAGTGCACAGATGTGTTTGAGTGTTTAGGCCCAGAGACTGTTTCCTCTCTATTGAGTTATCACAACATTTAAAACCCAGGAGATTTCACGTAAAACTCCAGATTTCCAGCTTCTCTTGAAAGCTTCAGTGAGGCAGCCTCAAGCCTGTTCGCTGGGGCAGTGATCCGAGGGTGCTGAGCAGGACAGCCTTGCTCTCCAGCGGGCCTCCACCCAACCTGGCCCTCCTTCCCCGTTTTTCCCTTGCCTGCCTGGCCTTGAGTTGGCACCTCTGTCTAAACACCAGTCCAGCGCTCTTCGGCCAGCCCGGTGGCGTAGCAGTTAAGTGCGTGTGCTCTGCTTCGACAGCCTGGGGTTTGCAGCTTCGGATCCCAGGCCTACACACCACTTGTCAGGCCATACTGTGGCAGCGTCCCATCTAAAGTAGAGGAAGATGGGCACGGATGTTAGCCCAGGGCCAGTCTTCCTCAGCAAAAAGAGGAGGACTGGCAACAGATGTTAGCCCAGGGCCAATCTTCCTCAGCAAAAAAAAAAGGAAAAAAGAGAGAGAGACCCAATGCTCTTCCATCCATCCCAGTAACAAATGTGAGTTGATCACCTGCCACATGCCAGGCCTTCCCACATGCTGGGGTACTAGCAGTGGACAAACCGCCCACCCTGTGGGGCTACAGTCTGCTGGGGCAAGGCGGCAGGCAAGGCGGGGGGCAGAGACAGACAATAAATGAGATAAATAAGTAACTTATAAAGCATATTCAAATATGGTGGGCTCTTCGAGCAGACAGCACAGGATAAGGGGAATGGGGGGAGGACAAAGGGGGTGGTCACAAAAGCCCTCCCCAGGAAGGTGATATGGAAGCAAAGAGCTGGGGGAAGGGAGGGTGGGTGATGTGGGTGTCTGGGGGAAGAGGAATCTCACAGGGGAAGCAGGAGGTCAAGGCTGGGCTCGGGGGTGAGCCTGAGGTTGGAGGAGCCATGAGGAGCCCATGAGGCTGGAACAGGCAAGCAAGGTGGGCGGGGGGTAAGGGAGTGAGAGAGGTGGTGCCGGGGCCACGGTACCCTGGGGCCAGAGGAGGGGACTGAGCTATCTCTCTGTGCCATGGAGGGGCTGAGCAGAGGCGGGACAGGGTCTGATTCATGTTCTCAGGGTCCCTCTGGCTGTGTGTACAAAATGGACTGTAGGGACGAGAGAGCCCAGGGAGGGCGTGCCAGCAAGAGAGGATGGGGGCTGGACCAGGTGGGGGCAGTGGACCTAGGAGAAGTGGTTTGATTCTGGAATTGTTTTAAATGGACAGCCAACGGGATATCCTGAGGATTATATGGGAGGTGGCGGGAGGAGGCCAAGTCTCCTGTCCAGAGCAAGGGGAAAGGTGGGATTGCCGATGGCTGAGAAGGGAAACCACAGGCGGTGGGTGTGCAGGAGAAATCAGGAGCCCAAAGAGACTAGATCTTATTGTTGCTGCCACAGAAAAGAAACGATAATTATGTGGCGTGTTAGAGGTGCTGGCTAATGCTACAGCGCTACTAATCACACTGCAATACATAGATGGATCAAAGCAACTCATCGTACACCCTAAGTTTACACAATGCTATATGTCAACTGTATCTCAATACAAATAAATTTAAAAGAAGAAGAAGAAATCAGGAGCCTGGTTTAGGACATGACGAGTTTGAGACGGCTATCAGACGCCCCAGGGGTGTCATCAAGGAGGCAGTCTGTCTGGGGTCTGGAGGTCGGGGGCGAGGTCTGGGCTGGAGAGAGAGTTGAGGAGTGGTCAGCTTCTAGATGGCACTTCAAGCCCGAGGCCTGGACGTCATCGTCAGGGAGTGAGCATAACTGCAGAGAGCCCCAGGGCCACACGACATGGACAGGCGGGTTGGCCGTGCCCAGACCGCCTTTCACCAGGTAGCGAGCGCAGCCCCCCGCCCCACAGAGCTCCGTGCTCCTTGCTGGTGGGACCTCTGACCTCTCCCGTGACCTCTCCCCTCTCTCCCAGGGCCAGTGCTCCCAGATGTGCTTCAACATCTTCATCGTGGAGTCCGTGTGCGTGGGCTGGTTCTCCCTCGAGTTCCTCCTGCGGCTGGTCCAGGCGCCCAGCAAGCTGGCCTTCCTGCGGAGCCCGCTGACGCTGATCGACATGGTGGCCATCCTGCCCTACTACGTCACCCTGCTGGTGGACGGCGCCGCCGCGGGCCGCCGCAAGTCGGGCGCGGGCAGCAGCTACCTGGACAAGGTGGGGCTGGCGCTGCGGGTGCTGCGGGCGCTGCGCATCCTGTACGTCATGCGCCTGGCCCGCCACTCGCTGGGGCTGCAGACGCTGGGGCTCACGGCCCGCCGCTGCACCCGCGAGTTCGGGCTCCTGCTGCTCTTCCTCTGCGTCGCCATCGCCCTCTTTGCCCCGCTCCTCTATGTCATCGAGAACGAGATGGCCGACAGCCCCGAGTTCACCAGCATCCCTGCCTGCTACTGGTGGGCTGTCATCACCATGACGACTGTGGGCTATGGAGACATGGTACCCAGGAGCACACCCGGCCAGGTGGTGGCACTCAGCAGCATCCTCAGTGGCATCCTCCTCATGGCCTTCCCGGTGACCTCCATCTTCCACACCTTCTCTCGCTCCTACCTGGAGCTCAAGCAGGAACAGGAGAGGGTGATGTTCCGGAGGGCCCAGTTCCTCATCAAAACCAAGTCGCAGCTGAGCAGCATGTCCCAGGACAGTGACATCTTGTTTGGAAGTGCCTCCTCGGACACCCAAGACAACAGCTGAGGCCAGAGGACACGCCTCGTCACCATCACCACCAGGACACCCTCAGCCCCGCCTGCCCTCTGCGGCTTGAAGCCATTGTCATCACTGCAGAAGCCCTGGAAGGCACGTGCCGCTTCTGAGCGCGGCCCTGGCATAGGACTGACTGGAACCACACCCCAGGGAGGACGTCGCACCATCCGCAGAGGGGCCTTGCCCTCCGCAAGCGAAGAGGAAGCTGTCCTGACCCCAGCACACAGCTGCGACCAGCCCCCCCCCCCCCCCCCCAGCCCCTGTGTCTGTTTCCCTTGGTAAGGAGATGGCTTGTTCTTTCCACCATGTAAATAACATGCCCAGCAAAGACTTGCTTTATGGGTGTGCCTAGAGAAAAATATACAAACAGCAGCAGCAGTGTGTCTGTCTGTCTGTAGTGTGGATCATATGCAATTAAAGAAAACCTTTGAAAAAGAGAGAAAAAGCCTTCTGTCAGGCTCTCTTAAGAGAGGAAACTGTCTCCCAGCAAAGCCAGCCAGTGTGGGTGCCGGAAGGAACGGGGCCTGTCTCCCTGGGTCTTTCCAGCCCGATGGGCCCCAGTGGGTTTGGAGGAAATGGGAGAAAACAGAGAGCTACCTTTGGGAAAACTGCTGGTAAATACTGCATTCCCTCTCTTGTTTGTCTCTGACTCCTCCCACCTCCAGCCTCTCTTTCTCCCTTTTTCCTTTTCTCCCATCCTCTGTTCTCCTCTTTTGTACCTTAAGGCCTATTTTGCAAACTTTTCCCCCAAGGCACCCCTAACAGTTGGGTGGACCCCAAGGGGCCTGTCAGCACTGCTGACCACAGGTGAAATCGCTTCATTTTATCTCTAAAAACTAGTGTGGGTTTTTATTCTACTCCACATTTATTTTAATATTTGAAAAAAATGCTTTAAATCATTTACCTGAACCTAAATCGACACCTAGAGTGGGGTTGATGCTTCGGGAAGGTGGGCCATGGTCCCCGGGAAGTCTGAGAAGCACAGTCTGAAGCCCCCAAAGGCCTCGCTGTGCTCCACAAAGACCTGCAGAGCCCCCGCCTGACCGGGAACAGCTCTCTGCCCTCACGTGGTATGGATGACATGTGGTAGAGGGGGAACCCAGGCCAGCCCACCAGCTTGACTCAGCTGGCAGGGATCAGAGCCCCTCGGTGCCAGGATGGGGAGGGGCTTCAGCCCAGGTCGCAGTCACAAGTCTGTCTTCACCCTCAAAGATACGAAGATACAGCAGCATCACTTTCTTCTTCATTCCAAACCTCCTGCTGCCTTGGCCATGGCCCTCCCCTCGGCCGGCAGCAGAAAGCACTCTCTCGGAATCTGATCACACCGCCGCCCTGCCTAAATCCACCAGTGGCTGTCCCTCACGTTCAGAATAAACCCAATGCCCTGCGTGACCTGGGCCCTCCCCTCCTCACCAGCTTCATCTCCCACCTCTCTCTCTGTGGCTCACTCCACCCAGCCACACTGGCCTCGGTTCTGCTCCTCCCGCGCACCCAGCCCAACCCACCTCAGGGCCTGCCCGCATTCAGATCCCTCTGACGGGCATGCCCGTCCTACAGAACATTGCATGGCTGGCTCTTTCCCATCACCTTTCTGACCACCTCCCTATAGACTCCACTCCAGCACCTCTGCCACCACCACTCTCCCCCCTTACCCAGCTTGATGTTCTTCATCCCCTGATCGACCTCTGAAATTGCCTTGTTTGTTTCTCGGCTACTCAGTTACGGTCCGTCTCCCGCACAAGGAGGTCAGGGATACACTGGCGGGGACTCAGCGATATGGCTGACCCCTGACCCCCAGCACCTAGCACAGGGCCTGGCACCTGGTAGGTGCTCCATAAACGTTTGTGGAATGAATGAACGAATGAATGAATGAAGGGAACAGGAAAGAGGGCCAGGAAGTAGAAAGCCGTTTGCTTTCGACGTGGGATGCCGGGGTGTCCGAGCACCTCTCTCTTTCTCTCTCTCTCTCCGGTGTGGGGCCCGGCTCTCTCAACGCCACACACTCGGTGATGCAGAGTGGAAACATCATCTGAGTCACGAGGGCCTTGTTACAGGCTCTCCTGACACCTGCTTCCAGTGACTCACGCCTAAAAAGTCAGTTTTCCAGTTAATTAACTCTGCCTTCCCCAGCCCAGTGGGTGTCACAGGAGACCGGCATCATGCTGGTGTGGTAATAATACCTTGATTTGTGGAGTGACTTTGTTTCCCCTCCAAAGTGGCTGTGAGAGACAGGAGACACTTGAAAATGCTAGACAGACAGAAAGGTGGCACAGGAAGAGGTATACAGTGGAGCCCTTTAAAACTCAAGGGAGCGGAAGGCACATGCCATTTGGGGTGAAGGAGGGAACCCCAAATGGGGTGGCGCTGGGAGGGAGCTGTGCCCCCACTACACTGAGGGCAGAGGCTGGGGCTGGGGGCACTGAGGGTCGAGGTTTCCTGCGTCTTCTTGCAGATTCTGACCAGTGCTGGTGGCTCGGGCCGAGGTCCAGACCTAGGCGCCTCTCAAGACCTCCCTTGGGACAAAGGGGCTCTCGATACTGAGCTGCACACCCAGAGTGGGGCAGAGGGGCCGTTGGCCCTAATGAAGAATCCAGAGGCCTCGGGACGCCTGACTGACCGCTTCTAGGACCATCATCACCTTCACGATCACGGCTTTTCCACTCTTGCTAGAGTGGACATTGCTAGCACATTGCTAGAAACAATGTGAAATCTGACACAGAGAGGCCAGCTAGAAATCGGATCGAATAGGATCTGTTCTGCCTGAGGCGTGGGGGCACCATTCCTTGCCTCTGCCCTAAGGGGGCCTCCCTTTCCACCCTGGTGCAGGCGACTAACTCCGCACAGCCCCCCGAGGGACGGTGAGTGAAAGTCACTGCTCTGGGGGAAACAGCAAAGCAGACCTTCCCAAATCTGATTTATTGTTTAGGTCACATGGTTCCCCTCATCTCCGGTTCAGCTCAGCGCTTCTGGAGGACGCACAGCGGGGGTTTGGGAAGCTGACTTAGTACAGATTCTCAGGCCCCAGCTCTGAGCAGGGCAGGACTTCTCGCCTGGGGCTCAGAATTAAAGAGGGAGCCAAAAACACTCAGAAATCTAGATACATCATACTTTAATGCAGAATTTTTTAAAAATCAAAATTAATGTCAAGAATCCACAATGAACAAAATATCCAGATTTTGGATAAAGACAGGATCTGCCTCTGCACTTGCACAACCCAGCCCCACTTGCCTCTCCCGAGTTCCGGTCCTGTCCCCACACCCCTGGGGACACCCCAGGCATATCCTGCGAGACAGCTGCAATCGGCCGAGGGCAGGTCTCCCACAAAGCTCGGGGGGAGCCTTCAGCTCCTGGCACCCGCAGCTGCTGGGGCCTGGGCACCCCACCCCTCAAGCGGACCAGGGCGGGCCCCACCACCACCTCCCACCCTGTGAGCGTTTCCGAAGCAGGCCCTGCCCTCGTGGGGCCCACACGGCTATGGGGAAAGAGAGACAGTGAGCATGTGAATTAAAGAAAATAGCTTCTGATGTCGGTGAGCTCAGGGTGACCTGGCAGAGAGTGGCTGGGGCCACAGGGAGGTGGAGAGCAGCCACTTGAGAGGGTCAGGGAGGGACTATCTGAGGAGGTGGCATTTGAATGGGGACCTGGAGGAGGGGAGGGGCAGTGATCCAAGCAGAGTGGACAGCCAGAGCAAAGCCCAGAGGTGGGGAGGACCAGACATTCCACCAGCCGTCAAGGGCGCACATGGGCACGGAAACATGTCCCCGCTGGGACGCCTCCCAGGAGAAAACTCAGATATGCAAAGTAGACACTGAACAAACATTTCCAGAGGCCTGACTCTGAACCAAGCCCTATCGTAGCAGCTGGGGGAAAACCAAAAACAAGACAGTGGACTCTGTCCCTGCCCAGAGGTGCTGATGGGGAAGACGACACATGAACGAGACATTTCCGCACGTGTAGATGGACGGGGGCAATGCAGGCACAGGGGCTGCGGGAGCATGGAGGAAGACACCAGAAAATAAAGAAGGATTTCACTCAGATTTCCATCTGCTTAGATGGCCTCACATGTTTTCCTCCAGAAAAAATAAATAGGATTCCTCCTAACACCGGTTCTCCTCTCTCTCCCTCCCTTTCTCCCGTCCAGTCCGGTCAGCTTCTATCAGGAATCTGACCACTCAGCCTCCTCCAATGGTCCAGCCCCCATCCTCTCCCACCTGGATTGTTGTCAGAGCCTCCTCCCTGGTTCCCCTGCTGTCCTGCCTCCCCCCACATCTGCTCTCTGCACAGCGGCAGAGGGACCTTGTTAGAACCCAAGTCAGATCACGCTCCTCCTCTGCTCAGAGCACCCACCCACCCCCACCAACCTACTTTCCATCCTACTCACAGGCAAAGCCAGAGTTTCTCCCGGCCCCACCTCCCCAACATGGTCTCCTTGCCTGCCCTCATCTCTCCTTTCCAGCTACACCAACCTCTTCTCTATTCATTGAACAAGACCACAGATGATCCCAGCTCAGGGCCTTTGCACTTGCTGTTCCCTCTGCCTGGGAGACTCTTCCCCAAGATATGCCCACATTACTTGCTCTCTCTCCTCATTTGAGTCTCTGCTCACATGTACTTAAACAGAGAGGCCTTTTCTGACCTCCTGCCCACAGCCCTGTATAAAAGACCACACTCCCAGCATGCCCCCAGGGGATTAGCCAGGTCTTTTATTTTCTGCATTCTGATGCTTTGACATCTGGGGCCTTGCAGACCCTGGATGGACTGACCCTCCCAGGGTTAGCCAATTCCTAGAGATGGTAAACAACCACCATTTGAAAAGCGTGCTTTTCAAATACAAACCAACAATCCAGAGCCCACATCCCACCCACCTCCTTTTTCTGGCTCTCATGCTCCAGGCCGCTATCCCCTGCCCTAGTCAGCCCAGCCTGGGTACCACACAAGCAGGGACAGCCACCAGGTCCCAGAGCCCGCTTAAATCATTCAAACAGCCAATCCTATTCCTGCCTACCCCATCTTGCCTGTTCCTTCCCTTGAAAGCCACAATAGAATTTCTTGCCCACAGTTCCGCCTCTCCCTCTGCCTCTGCCCAGCCCTGGTGCTTCCTCCTGGGCCCTCCATGGTGTGCCATGCCCCCTCCTCTTGGGATCTGTGAGAATAACAACCTACCTTTTCAAGGGCAGTCCTCTCCTGACCTGTTAGCCTGCCCACACCTGAACAGTAATGGAACCTATGTTTTAAAACGCCCAGGCTCCTTACCTGGCTTCATCCTCCTCCTGGTTCATGACATATTTATTTGCTCACAGTCCTTCTCTCTCCACTAGATGGCCAGCTCCCTGAGGGCAGGGACCTTCACAGCAGGATCCTCCGTCCAGGACAGC